ATTGATCCCCATTCTGGCACCTATATGTGTGCAAACCATTTTTTTTTTAAAGTACCTATAGGCAAGATGCCTTGGAATGAATCAACTCTTGAATGTTTATCTTTGACTGTCACATGCATGGCATGGCATGTACATTTTCTCTCTCACACATACACAAAATAAATGTAAAAAGTTTTCTTTGTGAGAGTGAAAACACAGACTAGACGCTGTAGAACATGAGTGGACTCTACCAAATGTGGCTCATTTTCTTGATTGGTGATTGGTGTGGGAGGACCGGAGGGCCCAGCCCACTGTGGGCGGCATTGCCTCCCCTAGGCAGCTGGTCTTGAGTCGTATAAGAAAGCAGATGAACGAACTACAGAGAGAAGCTTGTAAGGAGTGTTCCTCTACAGCCTTTGCTTCAAGGTTCCTTGAGTTTATGTCTTGAAATTCTTTTCATGATACCCTCATTGTCTCAGAGCAATAGCAAACAAACTAAGACACAGGCCAGATTAATGTGTCTCTTAGAAGGAAAACAGAGCAGGAAGGGTGGTGAGGTGAGACTTTCATTTTGTATCGTTTCAACTTTTGGCAGTGAAATTGTCAATTATATACTTTTAAAGGGGAGGAAACAGATTCTGAACAAGGCAATAATGAGTATTTTCTGCCTTACAGAAAGAAAAAGAGTATTTCAACATGTCCTGTCCTGTTTGAACATGGACAGAAGCAGAAAGCTTCTCCCAGATTTTGTGAGGCAGTTTTCCATGGATCGAAGCTGTGAGTGGACACCCGAAACTCCCGGGGACTTAGCTTGGAATTTCCTGATGAAAGTTCAGGCGTTAGACTTGACAGCCAGAGATTTTATCTTTAGACGAAAGATGGTGGATGAAGAGAACAAAGAGGAAGTTCTGGCTGGAATAGAGAATTTAGAAGTTGGAGACCTACAAACCATCAACCCCCTTGATGTCCTTTGTGCTTGCATGCTTTGTTCAGATAGCTCTTTGCAACGTGAAGTCATATCAAACATGTACAGATGCCTGTTTGCCCTTCCCCTGCTACTGCCAGATGCAGAAAACAACAAAAGCATCTTAATGATGGAGGCCATGAAAGACTTAAGGTGCCCCCCAGTGCAGTCCTCGGGAGGGCCCCCGAGGACTGCATTTCTGAGTCTCATGAAGATGCCCGTCATCTCTTTTGTGCGACTAGGGCACTGCAGCATCTCCAAGTCCAGAATCCTTAATGCTCTGCTCAGCTCCTCCCGAGAGAAACCACACAAAATTTTTCTCCATCAGGACCCGTCTGCTCCTGTGCTTCCTCGGCAGATTTCTGATGGCCTCGTAGAGGTTACATGGTGTTTTCCTGACAGCCAGGAACGAAAGGAAAGCCTTCATGTTTTCCAGAAACCTGTCGCTGTGGCCAACCTTCGTGGTGATCTAGAAAGCTTTTGGATGCAATTTGGTTTTCTGGTGGAAGTTTCCTCAGCCGTGTTCTTCTTTACTGACTTCCTTGGTGAGAAGGAATGGGAACTGCTAATGTTTTTAGGAGAAGATGCCATTGAGAAGTGCTACTTTGTCCTCAGTCCCCAGGCCAAGGAGAGTGAAGAGGCTCAGGTTTTCCAAAGGATCCTGAAGCTGAAGCCATCACAGCTACTGTTTTGGGAAGTAGAGGAAGCTGGGGATAGAAGGAAGACTATGGAGGGCCTGCAAGCTGCTCTCCAGGAAGTAATGTCCTCTTCACTCCGATGTGTGTCCCTAGAAGATATGGCCTCTCTGGCCAGGGAGTTGGGGATTCAGGTAGACCAAGACTTTGAAACCACTCAGGATGTTCAGGCTGTTGCAACAGCAGTTGAAGGTGAGAACCAACAGCCTCATAGTCAGACAAAAAGCCCATCTGAAAGCCGAGCTCAGAAGCCAGTCAGAGAGCCTGGGGCTCAAAGTGAGGTCAGCCAGAATATTCAGAATTTTCACCAGACTCCAGTGTACATGCCTTCTCCAGTACACCCATGGCCCTTGCCTATCAGGGCCAGGAGTAACTTTTACCATGTTTCCTTGAAAGCCCCCTGGGTTATGAGCCCCCACTTCGGACCACAGCAGAGGGCTAAGTGGTTCTCTTCTTTACCCAATCAGAATATAAGATTTCACAGTGGAGGGAAAAACTTCTGTATTCAGTACTTTCAACCCTGGAGATTTTATGCAGGGGAAAGGTTCATGAAGTTTCCTGGAACTTCTCGGGGGTACTGCTTGAGTGGAACATCTGGGAAATCAGAAAGACAGACTCTTCATGTACGGACCCACCTTGAGAGCTTACAGACAGTGAGAACTCCTCAAAAGTCTGGGAGAGTGGCCTCTCAGGTAGGTCATTCACAAGCAATAAAAGCAGCAGGGAAACCCCAGCCAGTGAAAGCCTGTGCCCAGGTGATGCAGCTGACTGAAGCAAGGGGAAAATACATGAGGGCATCATCTCATATTAAATATTCTCACCCTCAGACCAGTCAGCTCGCAGGAGCCATTCAAGAACGAACAATGCTTGCTTCTCAAGGATCCCAACGGATAACACAGGGAAGACCTTCAGATCCAGCTTTTCAACCAGCATCTCAGTCCACATCTGGGACAAAACTTTCATCTACCTCCCAGTTCAACTCCCATCAACCCATATTCCAGATCAAATACTTCCAGCCTAAGCCCTCTCAACCTGTACCTTCTCAGAAAAAAATGTCTCACCCCCAGTCCTCCCAAGCTAAACCCACTCATCCCCAGGTCTCCAAAACTAAACCCACCCATCTACAGCCCTCCCAAGCTAAACCTGCCCATCCTCAGCCCTCCCATGCTAAATTCACTCACCCCCGGTCCTCCCAAGCTAAAACCACTCACCCCCAGGCCTCCCAAGCTAAACCCACTCACCCC